TAAAGCAACATTTTGTTCTATCATGCTAAAAAGATTCTTAGGAGGTGTCTGCTGAACCCATGTTTCTAGAACATTATGCAGAAATGTTTGAGAGGAGCTCATTTCAATTCAATTGGATTATGAGTGAAAGAGGATGGGCTAGTTAATATTGTCAGCCTCATAGAATCTAGAATGTCCTAGAAGATAAATTTCTGGGCACTCTGTGAGAGATTATTTACTTTAGGGTGAGATGGGAAGACCCACCTTAACGTGGGTGGCACTATTCAATGGGCTGGGGTACTGGATCGAATAAAAAAGGTTAAGTGAGCTGAGCACCAGCGTTCCTGGCATTCTTCTCCTTGACTGGAGATGCAATGTGATCAGCAGCCTCATGTTCCTCCTACCATGCCTTTCCCACCATCTTGGATTTCCCCTCAAACTGGAAGTGAAAATAAACCCTTCCTTAAGTTGCTTTGATTGGGCATTTTGTCACAGCATCAAGGAACGTAACTAATACAGGAAATAGCCCAAGAATTACTGGTTTGGATCTGGGAATTTAAACTATACTTTTTTTTTTATTGAGAATTGTACACATGCATACAGTGTATTTTGATCATACTTACTCCAACTTCTTCCCCTAACCCCTCCCAGATCCACCCTAACTCCCTAACACCCCAATATCACGTTCCCTCTTTTTGTTTTAATACCCATCTAGTACAGTTCCTGTTGGCCACATACACCTGGGTGTGGAGTCAACCACCAGAGCATCGTTGACCTACCAGGGTCACAGACTTAAAGGAAATTGACTCTCCCTCCCCCAGAAGCCATCAGCTGCCCATAACTCCTCAGTTAGGGGTGGAGGCTCATGAATTCCTTCCCCCTCCAAGCTAGAATGTTGATGGCTTGAGCTTGTACAAGTCTCATGCAGACCACTATGGGTGGTGTGAGCTCATGAGTGCAGTGGTCTCATCATGCCAGAAGATGCTAGTTTGTTCTAGTCCTCCTCAACCTCTGGCCCTTACAATCTTTCTGCTGTTTCTTCCAAGATGGCCCCTGAGCCTTGAAGAAAAGGTGATACAGATGTTCCATTTGTGGTGGAGCGTTCTACTGACACTTATTCTCTGCAGATGCTGGTCACCCAGAAAATAAGACTAACAATCAAGGACTAGAGCTTCATGAAATTAAAAGGCTTCTATACTAGAAAGGAAACAGTTAATTAACTGAAGAGGCAGCCTACAGAATGAGAAAAAAAATCTTTGATAGCTATATATCTGACAGAGGATTAGTGTCTAGAATATCCAAGGAACTCAAAAAACTAAACATCAAGAAAACAAAAAACTCTATTAAAAAATGGCCTATGGAACTAAACAGAGGGCTCTCAGAAGAAGAAATATAAACGGCTAAGAAATATTTATGTGTACACCATCTTTAGGCATCAGAGAAATGCAAATTAAAACTATTTTGAGATTTCATCTTACCCCAATTCAGAATGGCTAAGATTAAGAAAACAAAAGACAGCAAATTCTGTCGAAGATGTGGAGAATTGGAACCCTTGGGCATTATTGATGAGAGTGCAGCCCTATTGGTACAGCCACTATGGAAATCAGTGTGGCAGGTCCTCAAAAAACTGCCATATGACCTAGCTATACCAACCCCAGGACTTTATTTCCTGCTAGAGAGACACATGTTCATACATGTCCTTAGCTGCTCTATTCACAACAGGTAGGACATGGAAACAGCCTAGATGTCTATTGACTGATGGATGGATAATGAAAATGTGGTACCTGGTACCTACATACAATGACATTTTTTTCAGCTATACATAAAAATGAAACTATCGGCTGGAGAGATGGCTCCGTGGTTAAGAGCACTGGCTGTTCTTGCAGAAGACCAGGGTTCGAATCCCAGCACCCACATGGCAGCTAACAATTGTCTGTAACTCCAGTTCCAGGGGATCTGACAGCCTCTTCTGTCCTCCATGGGCATTGCACGACACGGGTGCACTTACCTACATGCAGGCAATACACTCATACACGTAAAATAAAAATAATAAAATATTAAAAAAATAAAAATGAAATTATGTAGTTTACAGGCAAATGGATGGAGCTGGAAAACATTATGTTGAGTGAGGTAAGTCAGATTCAGAAAGACAAACATCACATGTTCTCACTCATATATGGATCTTAGCATCAAGACTTTAGATTTGCAGCCCGGCCTGGTGGTGCACGCCTTTAATCCCAGCACTTGGGAGGCAGAGGCAGGCGGATCTTTGTGAGTTCGAGGCCAGCCTGGTCTGCATAGTGAGTTCCAGGAGAGCTGGGGCTACAGGGAGACCCTTTCTCGAAAAAAAAAAAAAAAAAAAAAAAAAGACTTTAGATTTGTATGTTTAATTTGGAGGTTCTGGGGATTTTAAGCTATGTTCAACAGTTAGCTGGAAATAGTTTTATACCCAAGGAAGGGGCTTCATAATGGTGAGAATAAAATTATGGTAGAAGCCACAGGTATATCTGAGCAAGATGTTAAACCATAGACAGTATCAGAATGCAGATGTTTTTTAAAAGTATATACCTTATTAGAGCCAGGCAACGTAAGAACAGAAGCTAAGAACTTGATAGTCATTTGGATCGAGGGCTGGAGTTCAATATACATTAGGGATGGTAACTGTAAAATACCTCTCTTGAGCCACATGCACAAAGCCCTGGGTTCAATTCCCAGAACAATACATAAGTAAATAAATATCTCTTATTGTAGGGCAGAATCCAAGAACCATAGCGAAAAATTGGGAATATAAACTAGAATATTATCTAGTTGAGCATTAGTTCAGGATTTTTAGCACCCGAGAGCAGGAAATGAAGCTCCTCCCCTCAAATGATCTCTATAATTAATGTTTTCCAATGAAATGAATGGCAGTCTAAGATAATGGATGCAAAGAGTCAAGCATGAGTCAGTGCTACCAGAAACAATAGATGAATGAAATAGACATAATAGTCTAAAAATCAGTCTCCTTGCTAATTAAAGTCACGCTTCTAAATTTTGTCAGAGAACTGGAAAATTAAGTGTCATTTAAGATTGAAAAAGAACCACAAAGAGAACCATATAAGAATTATAAAACTAAAAAATATAATAACGTACAGCCAGGCTTGGTGGAACATGCCAATCGTCCCAGCACTTGGGAGGGAGAGGAAGGAGGGTCTCTGTGAGTTGGAGGCCAGCTTGGTTTACACAGCAAGTTCCAGACCAGCCAGGGCTATATAGTGAAACCGAGATAGAGTAGGAAACACAAAGGATACAGTGGTAGGCCTAATGTGTATTAAACTGGACTCCCAGAGAGAGATGGAACAAATGTCACGTTAAAGACAACGACCTAGAATTTCTGAGAATTATTCGAGGATGTTAATTTATAATTTAAGGAGAATAATTAAATGGAAGCAACATATTTTTTTAATTAAAAAAATTTTTTTAGAAGAAGCATTTCATTACACCTTTAACATAATAACAGTTTCCAGAGTAAAGATACATCTCTTTCAAAAGTGGTTATAAAATTTTTAGGTTCACTATTGAATTAATAGTTATACAATATTGAACTCATTATTTTTTATTTTATGTGTATGAGGTTTTGCCTGCATTTATGTAAGTGCACCCATGTTGTGCAGTGCCTGTGAAGGATAGAAAAGGGTGTAGGATCCCCTGAACCTGGAGTTACAGTTATTAGTGCCAAATGGGTGCTTGGATTTGAACACGGGTCCTCTGCAAGAGCAGCCTGTGTTCTTAACCACTGAACCATCTCTCCAGCCCCAGAAGCAGGATTTTTAAAATTTTATTTCTAATTAAAATTTTTATTAAATTTTGTTACATTTCATACTGAATCTCTCAAACAATCTGAATCATCTTTATAGCCCCATCCCCACCAGCACCCTCCCATAGCCTCCCAACTGGAAGCCATATACTTAGTCCTGGGTTGTTAAGGCCCACTGTGTCAAGTCAGTGTCCCCAGATATTCCCTAAAGTCAGATCCCTCTCACCCATCTATCCAAAGAAGCAGAATTTTTAAAAATAAAAGGTATTCAATATTTTTATTGCCATATCCTAGTACAGAAATGTACAGATAACGTGGACAGCTTCGAGTTTCCGTGGAAATGACACCTGACTTAAAAGAACCGTCATTAAATTTATTGTCAAAAGGGCTTTCATTCAAAGCTCCATTATCTGAAACATATTTCTTTTGTTTAGGCAGTGGGGTTGCTAAATAGGGTCTATTTTGAGAATAATGACATCACAGTTCATTAGTAAAGATGCAGCCTTCTGCCCCGCCTTCCATAGATACACGTACTCATGCACGCATGAACATACACGTTACGCGAGCACATACAAGTACCCATGCGCGCGCGCACACACACACACACGCCCGCAACACACAGAATCACACTTGCACCCATGTGTAGGAGTTGGGAAATGCGATTTCTCTGCTCCCTCGGTAGAGCCAACGTGGGAAGTTTCTGAGTTCTGTGATGTGCTTTACTTGAACCCAAACTCCGCCCCCTCTAAATCCATCAGGAGAACCTGAAGCTGGGGGCGGGGGTGGGGCGGGGGGGTGCTGCGCAGTGGGTGCTGCCCCGGGCTGTCAGCCGGTCGCAGGAGCCGACACTGGGGACCCTTCGCGCTCCTCTCCACTCCTGGCCTGTGAGCGCCTCGACGGGACCCCAACACCCAAAGCGCGCCAGGGCACCCCAGTTTCTTCCACAAACATGAAACAGCCCTAAAAGTTTTTTTTTCTGCACGCTCACTTAATCCCTAACGCGGCACACGCACACACACACTTGTACTTCTCCTCAGGAGTCGGCTGGCCATCCGAACAACTCGGCGAAATAACAGGAGCTAAAAACAGCCCGTGCTCCAAGGAGAGATGAGAAGCGAGAAAACACCGTAAACCGTAACCTCACACTCCAGTTTGCTCAGCGCTTGGAAAGAAAAAACAAAAACCAAAAAAACCGGCTGGTCTCCGTGTGATGCATGCTGGGATACGTAGTTCGTGCGGCTGACCAGGCGCGGAATCAGAACGGAGGGCGGGTTGGCTTCGCGTCCCAGAACTACCATTCCCGTGAGGCCATGCGGCAGCAGAGTTGCGGGGGAGAGCTGGTGCGTCGTGCTTGCGCAGGTCCTGGGACTGGAGGGAGGCGGGAGACACAGCGGTCCAACTGCTGAAGTCTCCATGTGACAGTAAGCGGGGTCCCCTCTCCACACGCCACTGGCCCCCACGTCCCAGCCACCGGCACTGGCCACTGTCCTAGCGCCGAGAGACCAGCAGGCCCCGGACACTGGGCGTCGGGCCGCGCGGCTGCCAGACTTCGGGTGCAGAGCGAACTGCCGGCCCGGGAGGGAGGTGGAGCGGAGAGACCAGCGGGGAATCTGTGTTGGCGCCGGCGCCCCTGAGCTCGCTGACATGAACGGCTTCACGCCGGAGGAGATGAGCCACGGCGGGGACGCAGCTGCCGCTGTGGCTGCGGTGGTCGCGGCTGCTGCGGCCGCCGCGTCGGCGGGGAACGGGAACGGGGCGAGCGGCGGGGCGGAGGTGCCGGGCGCCGGGGCGGTGTCGGCGGCGGGGCCCCCGGGAGCGGCCGGCCCGGGCCCGGGACAACTGTGTTGTCTGAGGGAGGACGGAGAGCGGTGCGGGCGCGCGGCGGGCAACGCCAGCTTCAGCAAGAGGATCCAGAAGAGCATCTCCCAGAAGAAGGTGAAGATCGAGCTGGATAAGAGCGTAAGTGACGCCGGGACCGCCCTGTCATGCCCGCCCCCGCCGGGCTTCGGGAGCGGGGCAGGACGTGGGTCGTTGGCGGGCTTCACGGGTCGTCCTGACTCGGCTGCCGCTGGGATGAGGGGGTTCTCGGTTGGAAACAACAAAGTCTCTGCAACTCCGGCCGCGACCCCCAGCGCGCGCTCTTGCTGCGGATCGCGTCCTCTGCGCCCCCCTCCCGGGCTCTGTTGTCGCTCCCTCGCCTGGCTTCCCTCTTCCTCCTTTGCTGTGATCTGGAAACGAAACAAAGGGGACCTCCGCACCGAGGGCCCGGAGTCGTTTTCCCGTAGCCCGGCAGCCCTTTCTGGAATGGAGGCGCCTTTGTTTTGCCGCCCGAGCTGGCGTCTGGCCCCAGGGAGTCGGAGTAGCTCTGCTCGGCTGGGGAAAGTGGTCTGGTGGGACCCTGCACCGCGACAAGGAAAAGCCTGTTCTCCGTGTTCTTTCTCCTGAACACAGGGGAAGCGGAGCTCTCCAGTTGCCTTGAAGGAGCTGGTTGCAAACGGCGTTTGCGGTGTCAGCTCTGAGAGCAGCTGCTCCAAACCGAGGCAGCAAAAAGCCTCCGCAGTTTTGCAACCCACTTGGCAACCATCGGGATTTCTTTTTCCGTCTTTATGTGCCTCTGCTCCTTTGACCATCTCTGAGGTTTGCAGCCTGCTACTTTTCAGAGCTCTGGCTGATTGCAAACCAAGAACAAGCATAGGACTTAGCACACATCTTGTATATTTTTAACTTGTCTTAGCTTAGAAGTCACTTTAAGCTCAGATCATAATTATATTTAGTTTTAATAAAGGGGGGAGGGTGTCAATATGAAGCCCAGTATTTCACTTTCCAGCTCTCAAATGTCTATGCAGTTAAAGTTTTGAAAAGTTTATTTGTGATTCTATTTAAGCCGTTCATCAGTGGTATTTACGAGAAACTTCAATGAACGCTAATTTCAGATTGTTTTAATTGGAAACAACATAATACAGACACATTCATTTAATTCTCTGAAAGAACCATTAGCGATTGAAATTCAGATAGGTTATAAATTCAGTAGCTTATTTGTAAAAATGCGTAGTTTGTATGTGAGATAGAATTTGGTCATCCAAATTAGAAAGATTGGGGAGCATACACCATTACCACAATTTGCTGCTCTCTAACTGGAGAAAATATTACCAAGTACAAAATTGTGGGCATCCTTTCTTGTCAGGCCAAAATCCAGCAGGAACTAACTTATTTAGGTCACCCTCCCTGCAATTTGACAACAAAACCCAGAGAACTGGAATTTCTCTTCTCTGCCTGCATTCTCCAGCTGGTACCACCCCCTTTTCCCTCATCTCCAAGTTTGCCAGGCAACTAATGTTTTAGCACAGTGTGAGTTTTAAAATTGGAAAGAAACGTGCCATGGTCTTAACAGCGGGTTGTTTATTTTTAACCATTTACTGGGCCTATGCATTTTACTATTGCATAGAAACATTTTTCTGTAGTTATAGTCTGTGAAATATTTTCTGTTTCAGGCAAGGCATCTTTACATTTGTGAGTATCATAAAAACTTAATTCAGAGTGTTCGAAACAGAAGAAAGAGAAAAGGGAGTGATGATGATGGAGGTGATTCACCCGTTCAAGATGTTGACACTCCAGAGGTAGATGAGAGTTCTTTGTTAAATGCAAATCCCAAGCATCCATTCTGAAACTTATAAAAAGATTTGAGCAAATTTTTAAATGCTTAAAGATTTTGTGACATGGAAAAATGACTGCAAAATTAAATATAGCCAATTAACATTTATTTGTACTATTATTAAATCTCAATTGACAATTTGTGGCGCTCTTGACATGTAGCTTCCTCTTTTCCTCCAAATGTTTATTACATTTTCCTCCCAAAATTGAACTTATTAAGTTATAGATCTGCTTATTTGAAAGGCTTTTTAATAGTGAAATTTTTATTATGCTGAAGTGGAAATGCTTGTTGTTATTACATATAAGTACTTTTTCAGCATACTGTATGAACTAATTCATGCACTGATTTTTTTCTAGGTTGATTTATATCAATTACAAGTAAATACACTTAGGAGATACAAAAGACACTTCAAATTACCAACCAGACCAGGACTTAATAAAGCACAACTTGTTGAGGTATATATAAGTTTAAAACTATTTAAACAAATCTGTTCACACAAACATGGGGTCATTAAATTCTGATGAAATTATTAATGTAGTATTTGTAATAGTACATTATAATGAGGAAAGTCAAAGTTAATAGATTTATTTTGGAAGAATACACTTGTTTAAAATTTGTCTGCCACCCTGGAAACCTCTTTAATGACTGCTCAATGGATTACAGTAGAGGGTATACAATATATTCTAATAATGATTTGTAGAGTAAATATTCAATGGCAGTTTTTTTATCATTCTAGAAATATTTTAAATTTCCAGTTGATCATTCAATGAATGCTTTATTGAATATCTAATTGAGGCATAACAAATAAATCAGCTTAAGTGTATTTAGAATTTTGTTTTCAAAGTTTCTGGTGGATAGGCATCAGATGAGCTCCTAAGCAGGATTGCTGTAACTTACTGACTTTGCTTTCAGAATTTCTCATTGTTAGCTTTTTTGTTTTTGTTTTTGTTTTTTTTTTTTTAAACTAGAAGATGTTTTCTTTACATCGAGAGGTAAAGATTTTTTTTCAACTTTAAAAAAAAATTGTTGAGAGTTTCATACATGCATATAAGGTGTTTTGGTCAAATCCATGCCCATTCCCTCCCCTCCAACACCTCCCATATCTCTCCAGCACTTTTTTTCTGACAACTTAGTGTATTCTCTCTCTCTCTCTCTCTCTCTCTCTCTCTCTCTCTCTCTGTCTCTCTCCCTTGTCTCTCAGTCTCTCTCTGTGTGTATACAACTTATTTGATAATAAATTTTAAATATTTGTTTAATATTTCATTATAGCTACAAATTATCACTGTACATATAATTAGTATATGAATATAACTTTAATATAGCACTTTAATCAACTTTGATTTCAGTAGTAAATTTTGTAATTTTATAGAGAGTCTTTTTATCCTAACTGCCTAGCCAATTCCTATCTCCTATTCTTATCACACCATCCTCTGAAGAGGTTACTCAAATTGCTGGTAGGGAATCGGGTTGCAGACAGCTTTGGCTTCTTCCATGTTGAATAGAGATGCAGGGTGAGGCAATTGCGGTATCCCTTCAGTGGGTCTATCTAAAAGAGTCCCAAATTGGGGCTGGAGAGATGGCTCAGCGGTTAAGAACACTGGCAGTTCTTGCAGAAGACCCAGGTTCGAATCCCAGCACCCACATGTCAGCTAACAACTGTCTATAACTCCAGTTCCAGGGGATCCTACAGCGTGCATACACATAAAATAAAAATAATAAATAAAATATTTAAAAATAAAAAATAAAAGAGTCCCAAATTGCATAACTTTTATCTTTAGGGAGAAAAGAAAGTCCTTGACTGGTAAATAGGAGATGTGGTGAAGGAGAAGTAAAGGCAAGACTAGTTAGCATTGCAAGTTCTAGACATGGAACTAGAAAAAAGTCAGAACAGGGCAAATTCCAAATGTTCATATCAGAGTCCGTTGAAATTTCTTGATGAGAGCTTCCAAAAGCATCCTTAAGATAGGTAAAGACTTTTATCCAGGCTTTACTAAAGTTTTCTTTGTTAGGACTTCTGTTCCTTCAGTGAGTTTTGGAAGTAGGCACATGTGTGCATGTGTTCTCTGGAAGTAACAGAACCAAGAAATCTGTGCACCTTAAGATATTTACAGATTTAAATGTTTAAAGTTTAATTTCACCTAACATACTTTTTTATTTAATAGAATAGAAATGTATCTATAAAGTGATTTTGTCATATTCTTCAGCCTAACTTTAGTAGTTAGCATATATTTTCTGTAAGGTGCATAATAAATAAAATAAAAATTAAGTAGAAATTATAATTCTTTAGTAGCATGCTCTTTAACATTGTTAAAATTCGGTATGTTAGCTATTTAGCCAAAATTTCTTTTTTTTTTTTCTTACTGAGGCAACAAAAATTTTATTTTTAAAAAATTTGACCTAAAAGATCTAGTAGTCTTTTTTCTGTTGTACAGTACATAAATAGAAAAATATTCCATAGTATGGTTAAATACAGTAGACACTAATCAAGTGAAGTAAGCTCTGTTCTGTAACAAATGAGAGTCAAGAACTGATGCAAATATATTTATATTTTTTAGTATATAGCTTAAATCTCGTTTTTTTTTTTTTTTTTTTTTAATGATCTGGTCTTCTAAAAACCTTTATATTGTTTTCTGTCTTATGAAAAGGTTTTCTGGGAGCTGGGCGTGGTGGCATACACATTTGATCCCAGCACTCAGGGGAGGTGGAGGCAGGCAGTCTCTGAGTTCAAGTCCAGCCTGGTCTACATAGTGTGTTCCAAGTCTTTTTTTTTTGTCAAAAAGACCAAAAACCAACCAACCAAACAAACAAACAAAAATAGAGATCATCTAGACTCCGCAGATCTGCACCTCAGTTTCATACTCATCTCCTGTAGTTGTAGTGCAGGTCAGATTTGTACAATGAAAAGATGAGGAATTAAGAAAACAGTCTTTAGTTGAACATCTTCTTTCTCCTTTAAGGTTCCATTCTTAATTTTATTTAGAAAAAATTTTCAAGAAACTTTTGAAAGGAATGAATATCAATTACAGCAAAGATATTTATAATGTCTCATAGTTTGTTTCTTACCAACATTTTTTTGGCTTCATACAAATCTTCATCTGTAGCTAAAGTCTAATCCCTTTCTTGTATGACCCACATCAACTCTTCTGTTTATTTCATTGATATTTAAGATTTAAGAACATGTACTTCCTAATCTAGATTAGAGTTCTAAAATTTAGAAGAAAAAAAACACTTCTTATCAGTACACCAAGGGGTCTTTTGAAATCAGATTGTCTTTTGTTTGTAATATCTTATTGTAATGTGCTTTTTGATCCTGTTCATACTTTGTTAGAAACAATTTAATTTTTAAAAGAAATACCTCTCATCATCATGTAACACTTTGACAAAACACTATCTTTTATTTAGTCTACAAGGTTTTGTTATATCTAAAATTTAATTTCCTCATTTTTTTTTTCTTTGTAGATAGTTGGTTGCCACTTTAGATCCATTCCAGTGAATGAAAAAGACACCCTAACATATTTCATCTACTCAGTGAAGAATGACAAGAACAAATCAGATCTCAAGGTTGATAGTGGTGTTCACTAGGAGAGATGGTATTCAGACTAGCACATAGGTGTTTGACTGTTAAGAATGTTTACTGTTTTTCACATGTAGAAATGTTCCTTGTGTATTTTTTCTACAGAGGAATTTTCTCTGTTTTTATTTTATTTTTTTGTTTTTGACTCTTAATAATTAGTATAATGAACTTCCTAGATTAAACATATTTTAAATAAAGGTTATTACTATTATAACTGCTTCAGTGTGTTTATTTTGTGAAACCTGGTTTTTGGTTTAAGCTTTCAGGGATCAATATTAAGATTTTAGGTAAAGATCTCTATTCTGTAACCTTAAGAATTCGAAGTGCATAACAGATGGAGAGATAGCAGACAGTGATTCACTTGCTTTCCCTTGGACACTAATTTGCAACTAAGGAAATCTTAAATAACATTATTTTCTTAAATTGCTTTATAGTGTTAGCTGATGTGAAAAACATTTTCAACCTTTTTCAAAAATACATTCATTCATTCATTCATTCATTCATTCATTCATTCATACATTTGTCTTACTATGCAAACCTGGCTGGCCTGGAACCTGCTAAATAGGACAGGCTAGCCTCGAATTCACAGAGATCTGGCTGCCTCTGCCTTCCGAGGCCTGTGCCACCATGCCAGCCTCAACCTCTTTTTAAAAAATTCCCTTTATTATTATTATTATTCCTTGAAGAGCTATGAAGAAAACCCAGTAAGCTAGGTGCCTACATCTTTTCAAAGAAGCTTTAACGTTCCGTAAAGATAAGCAGAGTGCTGAATGTTGAAATCAGAACTGGAATTAAATAGTTACTTAAAATTTATATGGCATGAAAATAGAAAATAACTCATGTTCCGTGCTGTTCATATTGCAAATTCAAACTGGCTTTAAAACTGCTGTATAGCAAATGCTTCTAATTCCAGCCCTCTAGAGGTTGGGGGCTCAGGAGAATCACAATTTTGAGACTAAGTTGAACTACATAGAAAGCCTTGTCTTAACAAAACCAAACCTCCCCTGAGGGTGGAGAAGTCTAGATAGATAATAAGCTTTTTATTTAAATATTGGCTCTATATGGCTCTAACTTGCCTTATATTTTCTTATGTTTTATTCTCTCTCAGTGTTCTATCATTTTTAGCTTCTATTTCACTAGAAATTTTATTGCTTGACAACTCTTAGCATTACAAATCAAATTTGTAGTTTGTTACATGAAAAGAACAAAAATAGCTTCAGTGAAATATTCTAAGAATGGCTGCAAAATTTAGGCTAGAGCTGGACAAGTCTACTAATAGAGCTCAGTTTCTCAGTGTTGGCATTTGGACCTAAGCAGTTTTTGCTGAAGAAGGCTGTGTTGTGGAAGACCAGCATTTGTGACATTTACCCATTGTGCCAATAGCTCTTCTAAGATGTTTCAACCAAGACTGGCTATTGGCTGAGAACCACTGATAACTCAATTACTACATCTAAAGTACTGATTCATTAGATGATAAGCCTCCATGTTTTCAGGTGTTCTAATTATAGTCACAACTAGAAAATAAAGCAGCTAGTATTTCGAGTCTTGTGACTAAACATGGACGAACAACTTTATTGATTAGCAGACTCTGATGCTAGTGTTATGAAAAGCTCATTTACAGTAGCAAATTCAAACTGGCTTTATCTCTCTGAAAGGTTTTTTTCTTAGCTATAGTAAAATCAACCACAGCTACAAGGTATGGAAGTTTACTAAAGAAAGCATTTCTTCCATGTTTCATATTTTACCTAATTCATAGACTTAATTTTTAAAATAAAATGACTATATGCCTTTTCCTATAAAAAACTTTTCTTGTGAAAAAGCTTGAAATTATTTGATTAAAGTATCATTATGCCCTCATGCAACAGAGAGCTAGGAATACAAAAGGTCACAAATGGCCAAAACAGAGAATAAGAGTCTGTGAGTGTGGGTCCTTGGACAGGACTCCTATATTAAACTCCACCCACCCAGGGCTCAGGGACCATTTTGGAAGAGGTGGTAGAAAGATTCTAAGAGCCAGGAAGGAGGTGCATGACCATACAGAAATGGTCCTACAGGCCCCTTGGATCCTTCTAATACAACCTATAGCAATAGTGCAGCATGTACAAGATCCAAGCAAACTTAAGCAGACAAAAACCTGCCGTGGAACTGTGGAAATGAACAGCAGGCCCCAATCTTAGTTGAAGAATTATTGGCATCTGATTACTGCTGGGTGAGGAAGAGCTGATCTTAAAGGAAGGGACTCTAGATAGGCTATCTACATCCCAGTGGATGAACTTGTACTGAGGGACATCTGGGGACACTAACTTTACATGATAGGCCTTGACACAAATGACAGAATGTATGAACTCCAGTGGGAGGGCTTTGGGAGGATGCCAAAGGGGAAGGGCATATAAAGATGATTTTCTGTATGAATTACACAAATATTCAATAAAAAATAAAGTATCTTTATGAACTCGTATCCCTTGACTAGCAATGTTAGTTTCTTATGATTATTTGCAAAATAAAATTATTAAAAAATTAAACCAAGTTCCGAATGATTAGCCTATGACATTAAGTCCTTAGAGCAATTATTTTTTAGTCTTTTAAAGCTTTTACTTGTTGCATGGTGTGTGTATGTGGGAAAGAGTTGGATGTGCACATGCCATAGGACAACTTATAAAATCAGTTCTCATCTGCCTTGTGGCAGGATCTCTTGGTTCTGCTTCTGTGTGGTGCTCTCCAAGCTAGCTGGCCCCTGAGCTTCTGAGTGATTCTACCATTTCTGTCTCCCATTTTGCTATAGGGGTGCTGGAATTATAGATGCATAGCACCACATTCTGTGTTTTACATGGCTTTGGGAGATCTAATTTAGGTTGTCATGCTTTTATGACTAGGTTCTTTATACATCTCTTGGGCCCTTGTTAGACCAATTAAAATAAACAAAAAAAAAATGGATCTTTTAAGTTGAAAACTAGATTCTCACCAATCTCTATTTAGCTTTTTGAGGAACTGTCAACCTCTTCCAATAGCTGAATGTTTTACATTCTTGTCAGCAATGAATGAGAGCTATTTGTTGTCCAATTTGCTAACACTTGTATTTTCTTTTTTTTTTTTTTTTCGTAATTAAAGCCATCCTGGGTATGAAATATCTCAGTTTTGATTTGGGTATTTTTCAAATTTTTATGTGTATATGTATATGCTGGCTTGTGTATGTGTGCAGGTGCCTGCTTAGGCCAGAAGAGGGCGTTTGAACATCTGGAACTTAAGTTACAGGCTGTTGTGAGCACCTCCTGTGGGCACTGGGACCTGAACCTGGGTCCTCTGAAAAGCAGCAAATGCCCTTGAACATGAGCCATCTCTCCCATTCCTGATTTGTGTATCCTTCATAATCAGTACTATTGAAAATTTTTTGGAATTGTTGATCAGTTAAATATCTTCTTTGTAGAGTTAGTCAAATGCTTAATTTAAAAAAATTCAGCTGTTTGCTTTTTTGTTGAACTGTAGTTCTTTATTCTGGGTACTAAACCTTTATTAGTGACATGATTTGCAAATGTTTACTTTGTCACTTTTTTTTTTTTTTATAGCATTCAGTGCAGTAAAGTTCTATGTTTTTATCTGGTCTGGTGTAAGTAGTTTTCCTTTTGTGGCTCTATTTTTGGCACCAAGTCTAAGAATCCACTGCTAAATTCAGTATGATGATGATTAATATCTTGTTTTTGTGGTAGCCAGTTGTCACACATCATTTTGAGAAGATTCTGTTTCCTCACTGAATGATCTTGGTACCCTTTTGAAAATCATTTGACCCTGGATATTGGAATTTATTTCTGTACTTTAAGTTATTTTCCATTAGTCTATTATTATTGGAGGTTTTAAAATCAAGAATTGTAAATTCTTTGCTTTTCTTCTTAATATTATTTTGACTATTCTGGGTCTCTTGTAATTCCATATGAATTTGAAATGATGTTTCTCTTTGTTTTTCTGATGGAATTGCTTTGACTATGCACAGTATTTTAAGATTCCCAGCTGAATTATATTAAGTATTCTAATCCAGAACCTGAGATGTCTTTTCATTTGTTTAGGTCTTCTTTAGTTTTTTTTTTTTTTAAAGTAGCGTTTTATTATATCCAATGTACAAATCTTTAAACGCCTTGGTTAAATGTATTGGTAGGCATTTTATTTTGTGTTCCTATTGTAAATTGAATTGTATTCTTAATTTCTTTTCTGTATTGCTCATTCCTGGTATAAAAATAACTGATTTTACATGTTGACCCTGCAACAACTGTGCTAGGTTTATTAGCTTTAGCAGTTTGTGTGTGTGTGTGTGTGTGTGTGTGTGTGTGTGTGTGTGTGTACATAGGCTTTTCTAACATGTAACTAAGGATAGTTATAAATATCCCTTTCTAATTTGGTGACAAGTTGCTCTGGCTGGGATTTGGGTGAAAGCAAGCATTTTTGTCTTTTTTTTTTAGGTAAGTATTGAAAGAACTCATGTGCTTCTTAGCGATTATAAGGAAGATAAAATTGTAAAATGATCTATGAATGTTCATACTTAGCCTTCCCTTTTTCTAATAGTTCTTGCTCATTACTTTGGTTTCTGTGCTTCCTTCAATTCTCTCGTAATCCTTTAGGATCAGTACCTCTTTCCAGCAAAAACATTTCAAGAACCTTTTCTGCATCATAAGGAAAAGAAGAATCTTACCAAGAAGAGATGAGTTATGAGTAACTATCACTGTTGACTCTATAGTCAGCAACATAGACTAATAGCAAAAACAAGGGAACAGAAAGCCAGTGATCAAAATGCAGAACTTCATATTCAGAAAGTGTTTGACATGGGGCTGAAGAGATGGCTCAGTGGTTAAAAGCACTGACTGCTCTTGGGGGGACCCAGGTTGAATCCCAGCACCCACATGACAGCTAACAGCTGTCCGTAACTCCTGTTCCAGGGGATCTGACAGTCTCTTCTGACCTCTGTGAGCATTGCAGGACACAGGTGGACTTATATACATGCAGGCAACACTCTTATGCACATAAAAATAATAAAGTACAAATTAAAAGTTTGGCATATATGATCTATCTGAAATGTGCAATTCCGTGTCCTATCAAGAAGATGTTTGCTTTTCTGAAAAGGAAGTAGATTAAATAATGTGGTGGTTCAAACTAGATGCTGGAGTAGATACAACATATTCAAACTCCAGTTCTGTTGCTCCCTGATAATGTAGCCTTCCATAACTTTATGTGTGTAGACCTTGACATTTTTGCCCATAGAACAGAGGGAAAGGCAGCACCTACTGTGTTCATTGGTAGGAAATTTTTAATAAAAGCTTAATTGTCTTTTTGTATAACATTCATTGGAAAAAGAAAAGATCTGTTCATCAATGTGAGTTAAATGTTTGCTTTTAAAAACATTTTGACCAAGTCAAAAAGTTTCAGGATTTGCATGAACATTGATGTCTTCAGTTATTTGGTAATACAGAGAAAGGTAGGGTTTATCTACCTTTAGGAAAGGTAGGTTCATTTCCTAATGAATGTACTTTAATTTCATTTTCAAATAGTGTTTTTTTTCTCTCTGTCTTTGTTGTTGTTTGTTTTGAGATAGGATCTTTTGTATTCTAATGTATCTGAAGAGGACTTTGAATTTTTTATCATCCCAAGTGCTGAGAAAAGATGGTGGTCACCACCTCAATTTATTCAATAGTATTTTCTCACCAGATTTTGACTGCAGTAGTGAGGAAATGCTTCTTTTTGAGACAGTGTCTTCCTATAGCCCCAACTGGTCTGGAACTCACTATGTAGACCAGACTGGTCTTGAACTCATGGAGATCCCCCTGCCTCTGCCTCCCAAGTACTGGAATTAAAGGTGTGTACCACCATGCCCAGCTGAGGAAATGCTTCTTCAAAAGGCATTGTTAGGCTCAGCAGTTAAAAGCACTGGCTGCTCTTAGAGAGGACCTGATTTGGGTTCCCAGTACCCATATGGTGGCTAAAAACCATCTATAACTCCGGTTCCAGGGGAACAGCACTCTCTTCTGACCTCTGTAGGCATTACACAACATGGGTGCACTTACACACTCCCAGGCATAACACTCATGCATGTAAAATGAAAATAATAAAATATTTGTAAAGAAACCTTAAAAAAATATATTATTGCCTTTTATCAATTTTCATGCCCATATGTCAGTTACAGAGATACTGGAGTCTTAATGTTTCTCCCTCAGAGAAAGCAAAAAACAAAGCAGGTTTACCGATCATTTTATTTATTTTTCTTGCCTGATATTCTGCTCCAGAAGGGTTATAAGACTTCCCTTACTGACAATCTAATTTTATTATCAGTTCATTCAGTGAAGACAGATCAATGAGATCATGTGCTATCTAGATAGAACTTATTTAACAATTCAGTTTCTTCATATACTTTATATGAGGTTATATAAGTGTAAAGATTCTAAGAGGAACTGAATTGTTATTACCACAAAAATATTTGACCCAGCCCAGTAACACTGAGTACGGAGTAGATGTGTTACTGTTCCCAATGGGGTCTTCAGAAACAAATCAAGGACCTTCATTGAAATGATCTTGTTTTTTTTTTCCCCTGTCACAAAATGGTATCTCTTAGACTGCCTGAAAGATATGGTGTGTCTCAAACTTTTTCTCATAATATTTTTTCCAGTATCCTCTAAATTCCTCTGTAGCAGGCTTCATGCTTATCAATGTTTATTAGGACTACAGCTTTGTTAGAACACATTCTCAGAGGGATATGTCTGTCTTTTAAGATTTTTTTTTGAGACAGGGTCCTCCTGTAGCCCTAGCTGGCCTGGGACTTGCTATGCAGACCAGGCTGGCCTTGATCTCATAGAGATCTGCCTGCATCTGCCTCTGCCTCTGTTAGGATTAAAGGTATGTACTAACATGCCTGGCTTTTTTGATAACTATGAATATTTTGTTATATGTATGTGCACCATGTGCATGCCTGGTGCCCCCAGAGGATAGAAGAAGGTATTGGATCCCTTGGAACTGGAGTTACAGATGGTTGTGAGCCACCATGTAGGTGTTGGGATCTGAGCCCAGGTCCTCTGAAAGAACAGTTAATGATCTTAACTGCTGAACCATCTCATCAGCCCTGACATGTTTACCTTATTCATTATTAGTAGCCAAGAATCTTAATAATGGCTAGTACCTAGCAAGCATGTAACACATTTTTATAACATGAAAGGCTTTCTAAAATTAACCTTATAGCTACTGTGAGTCAGCACAATGTTTTAAAACATGAGTCTGTAACCTAAAGTTGTCTCCTGACCATTATAAAATGTCTTTGAAGCCTGCTGTTTTATTTACTGTTAGAATTTGCAACTTAAATTCCGTTATTTGTTTTTGTCTTTTAAAATTTATTTAATGTGTATGAGTATTTTGCCTGCATGTATGTAAGTGTACCACATGTGTGCAATGCCCACAGAGACCAGAAGAGGGTGTTGGATCCACTGGAACTGGAGTTATGAATGGTGTGAGCCACCATGTGGGTGCTAGGAATTGAACCTGTGGTCTCTGCAAGAGCAATTAGTGTTCTTAACCACTGAGCCATCTCTCCTGCCCCCCCTCCCCCTTCTTCTTATGGCAAGATCTCATGTAACCTAGGCTGTACTCAAACTTATGTAGTTGAAGATAACCTTGAACTTCTGATCCTTCTACCTTTACCTCCCCAGTGCTAAGAGGCATGTGCAGTCATGCCAAGTTTATACAGTGCTGAGGTTCAAACCCATGGCTCCATGCATGCTAGGCAGGCATCGACCAACTGAGCTACATCTTCAGTCCTATTGTATTGTGACTTTTAAAGTGCATTTTCAGGCATATATATCATGGTCTTAAAGATATAAACTTGTTTGTGAGTGTGTATAGTATATGAGCTCTGTTCAAATTCTGCTTTGATTTTTAGCTAATATCTTAAATTTGAGTTAGAAAAATGAAACTAAGACTATTACCCAAAAGGATTTTGTAGTTTTTCCAGACAATAAAATTAGAATGTACTTAAAGACTTGGCACACACAACATGTACTTAACAATTGTTTTTCTTTCTTACTAGGAAATTTGTAATGTCCCTTCCAAAAGTTCAATCAGTGCCTGATTCTGTTAAATTTGCCTGGTCAAAAACCATCTACCAACAACTGAAAATTCTGAGTCTTGGAGCCAGGCTTGTGGTTATCCATTAGGGGACAGGATTCTTTTACCAAGTGTCGTGAACACCTCATAAATAAAAAGTCTCCAGTCAAATGTTTTAATCAGTGCAAATGATATCCACAGAGAAAAGCCCAATTGACTTAACTTTTATTACTGCTTGTCTAACACAGACATATTCGTCCTGAACAAATCAGACTTCATAGAATCTTTGCTTTATTGCCCTGGATAGAGATTAGAAATTTGGTTATACCGATACAATGTGTGGGAAACTAGGGATCATGTTCTCCAGTATACACGAAGATCCTCAGTGATTGTCACAAGGGATCACAAAGGAGATCTCTGGTCCAAAGAAGATGTCTCTGAAAGAAACAACATCAATTAAACTCAGCTGGAAGCTAAGATAGATGTTAGCCTTTTTCTGAGTTAAAAAGTGGACAGTGATTTTCAGGATTTCAGATGCAACTGTTCTTATTAGGTAAATAAAATACAAAGAAGTGAGTGGAAGGACTTCCCACAAGAGCCACAAAGACCAAGAAAGTAATGGGTGTTTCTTTACCCATTTTCCATTAATTTTATGCTATTATTTATCTATAATAAAAAGGGCAAGTTAAGTATTTCAAAACTTTATGTAGAAAACTTCACTTATTTGATATGGGTTATGAAATTTAAATGTACAGGTAAGAAAAAAAGATCATTAGACATGTCTTAGAAAATCACTAAATGAAAAAAAGCTTGGCATAGTGGCACACACCTTTAGTCCCAGCACTTGGGAGGCAGAAGCAGGAAGATCTCTGTGAGGTCTGGTCTACATAGCGAGTTCCAGGCCAGCTGGGGCTACAGGGAGACCCTGTCTCAAAAGACCAAAAAAAAAATCATTAACTTTCTAGATTTTATGCAAAAAGAAATTTTTATTTATTTACTTATATGTATATGAATGTTTTGTGGGCATGTATTTAAGTGCACCCATGCATGTAATGCCTGCATAAGACAGAAGAGGGCATCAGATCCCCTGGAACTGGAGTTACAGAGATTGTTAGCTGCCATATGGGTGCTGGGAACTGAACCTGGATCCTCTGCAAGAGTAGCCAATGCTCTTGATTGATCCAGAGACATCTCTCTAGCTCCAAGAAATTTAAAAAAAGTTTTACTCTTATGTGTATGAGTCTTTTACTTGTACGTATGTATATGTACCATGTGTATGCCTGGTGCCTGCAGAGGCCAGAAGAGGGCATTGAGTTGTTCGCAGCCTTGTGGGTGCTAGGAACCAAACTCAAGTCCTCTGCAAGAGCACCAAGTGCTCTTAAGTGCTGAGTCATCACTCCAACCTTGAGAGAGAAATATTTCTAAAACTATTCTTATTTTTTTAGTAGGAGAGATCATTTAAGGTAATGTATAAAAATGCATGGGATAATATAAAATTATATATGTGTATAGGGTGGTATTATGATTCTGACTTATTAGAAATATCAAAGAAATTCTGTAACTACTGGGAAAAAAAGTATTCCAAAGTCAAGGAGAAATTATTTCTTTATGTCCATACTTCTGTTTAAAATCTATTAATAATAATAATCACTAAGTTATTTCAAAAAATAAATATAAGGCCGCTTTAGTAAATTGACTTAAAGTCATCCAATAATGAAAAACTAGCACTGTGTTTTAATTAGTTGGCATTTTAATTTATATGGTATAAGAAAAATTAGTTCATGGGATTAATTAATACAAATTCTTGTAACATCATTTATTACAGTGATTCTAAAGCTTCATTGTGCAACAGAATCACCCAGAGATTTTGTTGATATTGGAGGTTCCAACCTCCAGTTTCTGATTCAGTAGCTCTGGAGTGGGGTCCAAGGACAGATGTGCACTTTTAACAGGAACTATTTTCGAAACCTCACTTTGGGAACCAACTGGCTCGGTAGAAAAAAATAACTGATCCAAATCTGAGTTTTAGTCTCCACACTAACCAGATAGTGCTGGTCATTTCAAGTCTCTTCCATTCCTTGCTATGATAATTATATCTGCCTTTTCTACCTTAACAGGTTTCTTGGAAGAATGAAAACAGGATATCAGGTGTTGAAAGTAATTTGAAACAGTATGAAATGTCCAACATTTTCGTATTTGAAATTAAATCAAGATCTAAAAATATTTATAGATTTACTCTATCATTGTTTGATACTTAACACTTAATGTATTTTCCACAAAGTAAATTGTTTTGAACTTTCATTAATTCATTTCTAGCTATCTTATATGTGGAACTAGAAAATCTTTCTTTGGCCAGTATTAAAACTTTTCTGTCCAGATACTTACTTCATACTGTTCATTAGCTTGTTTAATATATATATATATTTT